AAGAAAGCAAAAGGTCATTAAAAAGACAGGAAAGAAAGAAAAGACCAAAATGGATGTCAGAAGAGACTCTGAAACTTGCTCTTGAACACAGAGTAGCTAAAGCAAAAGGAAGAAATGATAGAGTAAAAGAGCTGAACAGAAGGTTTCAAAGCGTGGTTCAAGAAGACAAAGTAAAGTATTGTAATGACATGTGCAAAGACCTGGAGTTAGAAAACTAAAAGAAAGAACACACTAAGCATTTCTCAAGCTCAAAGAACTGAAGAAAAAATTCAAGCCTCAAGATGCAATACTGAAGAATTCTGTGGGCCAAATATTGAAGGATGCAGCAAGCGTCAAAAGAAGATGGAAGGAATACACAGAGTCACTGCACCAAAAAGACTTGGTCGACATTGAACCATTTCAGGAGGCAGCATATGATCAAGAATTGATGGTACTGAAGGAAGAGGTCCAAGCTGCACTGAAGACACTGGCGAAAAACAAGTCCAGGAATTCAGAGAATACCAACTGAGAAGTTTCAACAAACGGATGCAGCACTGGAAGTGCTCACTTGCCTATGCCAAAAAATTTGGAAGACACCTACTTGGCCAGCCAACTGGAAGAGATCCATATTTGTGCCCATTCCAAAGAAATGTGATCCACCAGATTGCAGAAATTATCAAACAACATCATTAGTATCACACGCAAGTAAAATTTTGCTGAAGATAATTCAAAAACAGTTTCAACAGTACATCGAGAGGGAACTGCCAGAAGTTCAAACCAAATTCAGAAGAGGACTTGGAACAAGGGATATCATTGCTGATATCAGATATATCTTAGCTGAAAGCAGAGACTACCAGAAGGATGTTGTAATGGACTGAATCGTGTCCCCCAAAAATGCGTATCAACCTGGCTAGTCCATGATTCCCAGTATTGTGTGATTGTCCACTAAACCCTGGTGGCATAGCGGTTAAGAGTTTGGCTGCTAACCGAAAGGTCAGCAGTTCAAATCCACCAGGAGCTCCTTGGAAGCGCTATGGGGCAGTTCTGCTCTGTCCTGTAGGGTCTCTATGAGTTGGAATCGACTCAGCGGCAGCAGGTTTGGTTTTTTTTTTTTTTTTTTGGTTTCATGAAGTTAATGAGGTGGGATTAGTGGCAGTTATGTTAATGAGGCAGGACCCAGTCTACAAGATTAGGTTGTGTCTTAAGCCAATCTCTTGTGAGATATAAAAGAGAAGCAAGCAGAAAGACACAGGACCTCATACCACCAAGAAAGTAGTGCCAGGAGAAGACCGTGTCCTTTGGACCCAGAGTCCCTGCACTGAGAAGCTCCTGGACCATGAGAAGATCGGTGACAAGAGCTTTCCCCCAGAGCCGACAGAGAGAGAAAGCCTTCCCCTGGAGCTGGCGCCCTGGATTCAGACTTCCAGCCTGCTAGACTGTGAGAGAATAAATTTCTGTTTGTTAAAGCCATCCACTTGTGGTATTTCTGTTATAACGGCACTAGATAACTAAGACAGATGTTTACCCATGTATTGTTGACTATGCAAAGGCATTTGACTGTGTGGATCATAACAAATTATGAATAACATGATGAAGAATGGGAATTCCAGAACACTTAATTGTGCTCATGGGGAACCTGTACATAGACCAAGAGACAAGAGGATATTGCATGGTTTAAAATCAGAAAAAGTGTGTGTTAGGATTGTATCCTTTCACTATACTTATTCAATAGGTATGCTGAGCAAGTAATCTGAGAAGCTGGACTATAGGAAGAAGAATGGGGTATTGGGATTGGAGAAAGACTCACTAACAACCCACGATATGCAGATGACACAACCTTGCTTGCTGAAAGTAAAGAGGACTTGAAGCACTTACCGATGAAGATCAAAGAGTACAGCCTTCAAAAAAAAAACAAAAGACTACAGCCTTCAGTATGGATTACACTTCAACAGAAAGAAAACAAAATCCTCACAAATGGACCAGTAAACAACATTATGATAAACAGAGTAAATACTGAAGTTGTCAAGGACTTCATTTTACTTAGATTCACAATCAACATCCATGGAAGCAGCAGTCAAGAAACCAAACAGTATATTGCATTAGGCAAATCTGCTGCAAGAGACCTTTTTAAAGTGTTAACAAGCAAAGCTGTCATTTTGAGGACTAAAGTGCCCCTGGCATCTTCAATTGGTTCATATGCATGTGAGAGCTGGACAATGAATAATTAAGACTGAAGAACTAATGCCTTTGAATTATGGTGTGGGCCAGGAATATTGAATATACCATGGACTGCCAGAAGAAGGAACAAATCTGTCTTAGAAGAAGTACAGCTCCTTAGAATCTCAGATGACGGCATGTTATCAGGAGGGACCAGTCCCTGGAGAAGGATATCATGCTCCGTAGAGGGTCAGTGAAAAAGAGGAAACCCCTCAAAGAGATGGATTGACACCGTGGCTGCAACAATGAGCTCAAACATAGCAATGATTGTGAGGATGGTGCAGGACCGGGCATTATTTTATTTTTGTCTATTGTTCATAGGGTCGCTATGAGTCAGAACCGACTCGACACCACCTAGCAGCAAACCACAGGAAAGAATGGGAAATTATATATATGAAATCAATGACAGAGCGCCAAGGTGGTGGAAGATAAATTGAGACTCTTTGGGACGTTTAAATAAAAAGTAAATCTACATTGCTAAATCTACAAATCGTGAGCTTAAGATCACAAGGAACTCATGTTTCGATTCAGTACAGTGAAATCACAGGACAGCGATCATGCATTTCTGATTGGGCACAAACAGATGAGAGAGGCCGCCATGCACTCCCTGTACCTTCTAATCTGCAATCACACCTTTTCCAGATTGCTCCTGCTGGTGACCGGGGTGCACTGTCGTGCTTCCCAGCACCCACAACCGAGCTCATGGTAATCACGGCTGAGAGAAAACTCCTGAAGCACCTGTAGCCCCTGTCTTATCCGTCAGCTGAGAACCAAGCTGTATCATTGATGGCGAACAAGCATGCTCGTTTACCTTACAGTTCTTCTTTCAGCTGTTCCCAGTTCCTCCTTTCACATCAGTGTCACTGAATATTTATTTATATTATATATCATATCACCTTATCGTATAACCTCATATAAACTTAAATGATATATAATATTAATTTAGATTAATTTTACTGTAAATCTCCCTTCCTACACAGTTCACTGAATCAAATCCTACTCATGGCGACCCCGTGTGGCAGAGCAGAACTGCCCCCATAGGGTTTCCTAGGCTGTAATCTTTATGGGAGCAGATCGTCAGGTCTTTCTCCCGAGGAGCCGCTGGGTGGTTCAAACTGCCCCTGACTTTTCTGTTAGCAGCCAAGCGCCTACCTGTTATGCCACCACCTATCCTACCCTCCAGCACACTCCATTTCTTTGGGTTCCCTGATGGTTACTCTGCCCCTTGCCCCCATCGTCACCCCAGCTGTGATCTACCCCAGTGTCCCATCCTCAGCAAAGCCTTTTCTGACCTGCCCAGAGCTCCGGGCTCTCTCCTCTGTGCACCCTTGCACTTTTTTTTTTTAAGGACTTTGTTCTCAGCTATTACCGTTGTGTATTATAACCATCTGTTAGACGTCTGCCCCATACCCCGGGCTGTGTTGGCAGTAAGGACGTGTCTTATTCATTTTTGTTTCCTTAGTACCCACCCCAGTGTCTGCTTCTCAGAACTTCGCTGTGTGATGAATTACTATCAAGGAAGGGTGTAGTGGGTTTTAGAAAGATTTCCATTTAAATGGTTCAGATAGAAGAAACACTCTCTTTAAAATCTAAACTTCATTTATCCAGAAGATTTGGTTGTATGAAACTGTTTGTGCTCCCATAATGCTGGAGAAAATAAATATTATTATTTTTTCTTATTGTTCATAAGAATGGGAAACAATCAAATTCTCACTGAGCCTTCCTAAGTAAACACCCACTTATGTTATAACAGATCCATATGGGTTTCCATGGAAGAACCCATGAAGAGATAGCTTTTATGTGTGCTCTCCTTGGAAAATTAAGGATCAGGTTTATTTGAAGACCTGAGTGACTGGTGGTTTTAATTTCTTCTATAGGCCCCTAGAGAAGACCACAGTAGATTCAAATTTCAGGTCCTATTCCATCAGTGTTGATCATGTTGCACGAATAAAGGTCCTTATGCTTTTCACACTAGGACTTAGTTCATTTAACCTTCATCTAGATATTTGAGAAAAGATAGCATAGATGGTATTCATGAAAACTTTTACTTCATTTTCTCCCAGTAGCTTTTAAAAAACAGACAGCCATAAATAAAATCTTTCGGGTCTTAAAATCAGATGTATTCTAAAGTAATGTACGTCTCGTGTTAGATGTAGTGCATCAAACGCGAGTTTGCCTTGAATCCAGTTGTTTATGCCTCACTTGTCTTGGCACCCAGTGTATTAATCACCACCGTTAGGAGGCAGGCATTAAATATTGAAAACTGATTGTCATGTTGCATCTCTTCATTGTGTAAATCTAAAAATAATTTGTTTTGCCAAACCACAAAATAAAATTATGAATCCCTTTTAAAAATCACATATTGTAATTGTTAACATAGGCAAAATAAAAGTAGGAGTTGTTACATGACTTTTAACAAATACTGGCAACAACTGTTTCTTTAATTTGGTTATTTCATTAATATATTCAGAAGAGGTTTTTAAGCAATCTAGAAAGTTTTATATAACTTTACATATGTGTTTACTAATGCTAATATAAATTATCATTAATTCATATTAACAAATAGGTATTTTTCTTAATTTGTGGCAGGGTAAGATTGAAAATTGGTAACATTTTTAAATATCATAAATTGTCAAGTGAATTGTTCAAGAGAAATGCTTCATCATGTCTTCTTAAATACCTAAAACAGAGTAAATGAAGACTAGAATCAAGTACTAAAATATTGGTTTTAATAAAGAAATTAAATATTATCCACCTGATTTTTATAAAGTAGGTTTAATATGCTACGTTTTTATTTCTGGCAGGAACTAATTCCAGAGTTCTACTACCTCCCTGAGATGTTTGTCAACAGTAATGGATACAATCTTGGAGTCAGAGAAGATGAAGTGGTGGTAAATGATGTTGATCTCCCGCCTTGGGCCAAACAACCTGAAGACTTCGTGCGGATTAACAGGATGGTAAGAGAGACTTGTTTGTGTCTGAGCAGAGTCGTCGGGGAGTTTACATTCTCTCAGTGTTCTAGTTAGTTTTTTGACCGTTAACAAATTGCCATTTCACATCTAGAAACATGAGTTTAAAGATTTGAGGGGGGAAAAGAAAGCATTTTACTGTTGTATTCTAATAGGGTTTCCATTGTGGTGTGGCATTTCCTTTCATCAGGACTCATTAAGGAATAAGGAGCCCTGGTGGCACAGTGGTTAAGTGCTCAGCTGCTAACCAAAAGGTCGGCAGTTTGAACCTACCAGCTGCTCCACAGGAGAAAGACGTGGCGATAGATTATTTCTTCAATTTGTTTTTTTTAATGTGAAGGCTTTATACTTTAGTAATGCCTACTTGAGGAGCCCTGATGGTGCAGTGGTTAAGCACTCGGCTGCTAACCGAAGGTCAGCAGTTCAAACTCATTAGCTGCTTTGTGGGAGAAAGATGTGGCAGTCTGCTTCCTTACAGATTTATAGCCTTGGAAACCCCATGGGCAGTTCTACTCTGTCCTATAGGATCGCTATGAATCAGAATCAACTGGACTGAAATGGGTTTTTTTGTAACGTATGCTTCTAAAATCTAGACTTATTTTTGTAATTGGTAGTTCACGACCACTTGAATGCTGGCTATAATGTCAGTGTAAGGATACCCAGACTACAAACTCAGTGCTAGGAACCCCCACTTGTCTGTATCTCAATCACTTCATCGCATTCTGTCTCCAGAGCCCAGAACAGTGCCTGGCATTTAGTAAGTTAGTCAGTAAACGTTTGCTGAGAGAGTGAATGAATGAATGAACTGTGGAAGAGAAGCTAATCTCAGTGATGTCACCGTATAGTGAACCCTCAGGTTAGCAAAGTAATCAAAACTTGCTGGATCAGACTTTTTGTCACTCCTGCTACCTAACTGAGCTGATTGAACAGAAGTTCTCAGCCAGGCCCTAACAAGTAGTGAGTGCCTCTCACATCCCAGAGTTTAGGCTATGCACTTGGTATCAAGTTCTTTAAAATTAGTAAGGTAGGTGTTAAAAAACAAACACACCCGTTACCATCGAGTCGATTCCGACTCATGACCCTATAGGACAGAGTAGAGCTGCCCAATAGGGTTTCCAAGGAGGGGCTGGTGAATTCGAACTGCCGACCTTTTGGTTAGCATTTGAGCTTTTAACTATTGTGCCATCAGGGCTCCAGCATGGGTGTTAGTATCCCCATTTTACAGATCGGAAACATGAGGGCCAGAGATGTCCCATAGTTTACCCAGGGATATGAAGCTAGTCAGTGGCAGAGCCCAGATTCCAGAGCAGAAAATGTTTTCACTCCAAAAGTCATACTCTTTCCAGTATGCCAGCTGTCTCTGATTTTATCTCTTCTTTGTGAAACTCTTTGAGATTGTTGGAGCTGTATTTTTAGATTTATAATTTTCAGTTAAGATTTTATTTATTCATTGATTTTTCAACATCCTGGAGCAGATTATTCATAGAAATACTGCAAGTTCAGTAACCCACAAAATACAGAAAAGGAAGACAGAGTATGTCTGCTCCTGTCAACTTCTGTTAGATCCCTAGGGTATATACCCAGGAGTGGAATTGCTGGGTCGCGTGGCAGTTCTGCCTCTAGTTTTGTGAGAAACGCCACACTGTTTTCCACAACAACTGTACCATTTTGCATTTCCAGCAGCAGTGGATGAGGGTTCCAGTTTCTCCACATCCCCTCCAATACTTGTTATTTTGTTTTTTTTTTCTTTTGTAAATCTTGGCCATCCTAGTGGGAGTGAAGTGCTATCTCATTGCGGTTTTGATGTGTATCTTTCTGATAGTTAATGAACCTGAGCACCTTTTCATGTGTCTGTCGGCCATTTGAATATCCCCTTTGGTGAAGTGTCTGTCATGTCTTTTGCCCAGTTTTTGATTGGGTTACTTGTATTTTTGTTTTAAGTTATAGAAATTTTTGTATATATTTTAGATATTAGACTCTAATAGGTTATATCATTCCCAGAGATTTTTTTCTCAGTCTGTAGGTTGTCTCTTTTCTCTTTTGAGAAAGTATTTTGATGAATGTTAAGCATTTAACTTTTATGCTAAACTATTCCTTTTGTATCTCAAAAGTGATTGGCTTGAGACACACCCTGCCCTGACATAGCCTCATTAACGTAACAAAGAAAACCTTATTTCCAGATGAGATTACATCCAAGTATATAAGGGTTAGGATTTACAATACATACTTTTGGGTGACACAGTTCAATCCATAACAAACATTATGAAGAAAATTTAAATTCTAAAATAGATTTTTCTTTTTACTTTGAGAAAAGGAAATTAATGAATGCAAATTGTGCATAAATACATTTTTCTTTTTTATTTGTAATTCCTCAAAGTGCTTCTATTGCACATAAATTAAATATAACAAATAATTCACTCCTGGCACTAACATCACTAGTGCAAGAACTGACTTCTGTTTATATACCTTTATCTCTTTTTTTAACAGCGGAAGTGCTGCTGAGTAGACTTTAAGGCAAAATGCAGTGCTTCTTGAAAATAAGTCTGTTTGTATCACAATGGTTAAGCACTTTGCTGCTAATGGAAAGGTTGGTAGTTTGAACCCATCCAGCCCCTCCACGGGAGAAGGACTTAGTGATCTGATCCTGTAAAGATTACAGCCTAGAAAACCCTATGGGGCAGTTCTACTCTGTTACATGGGGTTGCTGTGAGTCAGAGTTGACTGGGCAGCACCCAACAACAACGTACATAGATTCTTCAAGCCAGGTGTGTAGCAATGTATGAGGAACTCTAGGGATTGCATATAACAGCATGAAGGCACTGCGCCTCAAAGATCTGCTCTTACGTGTTCAAAACAATTACGTTTTACAACCGACTAAAATATACCCAAAAAAAAACCCAAACCTGTTGCCGTCGAGTTGATTCTGACTCATAGAGACCCTACAGGACAGAGTAGAGCTGCCCCATAGGGTTTCCAAGGCGCAGCTGGTGGATTCAAACTGCTGACGTTTTGGTTAGCAGCCATAGCTCTTAACCACTACACCACCAGGGTTTCCGACTAAAATATAAGAAATACATATTTATGCCGTCTTGGAAAATATCATAAAACATTTTGAGAAATGAACAGAACTTTTTTTATTATAAGAAAGAAAGTCCAGCTTGTGTTCATGAAGAAATGAAAGAAACAAAGCAGTAGATTGTTTGCTGTTCTGAACCAAATTCCTGTTATCTTTTTGGATTTCATGAATATGGTAAGATTTGTAAACTAAGCCTTTACCCCGTGGAGCAAAAGGCATGACACAAAATTGCATTTGTTTTTGGAAGTCAAACTGTCCCAGTCTCTGTTCTCTGCACCTCCTATAAGTACTGTCAGGTTAAATGTTGTTAGTTGCTGTGGGGTCATTTCCGAGTCACGGCGACCCCACGAACAACACAAAGAAGCGTGGCCCAGTCCTGCGCTGTCTTCAAGATTGTTGGCATGTGCGAATCCGTTGTTGCGGCCACTGTGTATTTTGAGGGTCTTCCAAACTAGGGTGCTCATCCTTCAGCTCTATATCAGACAGTATTCTTTTGTGATCCATGGGGTTTTTGTTGGCTAATTTTTGGAAGTGGACCTCCAGTCCTTTCTTCCTGGTCTGTCTTAGTCTGGAAGCACCGCTGCAACCTGTTCACCATGGGCGACCCTGCTGGTGTTTGAAATACTGGTGGCATAGCTCCCAGCATCACAGCAATACCCAAGCCACGACAGTAGGACAAACTGACAGATGGGTGGTAGCCAGGTTACATAGAAGTATGTAAGTACTCAGCACATAGTAGGTGTCTTGAGAAGTGCTTATTCTCTTCATCTTCTTCTCCTGGGCCTTTCTTGAAGAGACCCTGCAGAATGGAAGGGAAAGCTACCTGTGTATCCCCAGGTCTGTGTTTCCAGCATCATTCTTAATGGCATCAGAATTAACTAACGGACAGACCAGAACTGCGGCCTTTGGGAGCAGTCTTAGCATCAGACGTCTCAAAAGACATCAACCGTAACTGGACGTCTCTCCACGTCTCCTGCACTGCTTGTCCTCAACTTGAAGTTCTCCTTGATGGCACCCTTTTTCTCGTTTCCTTCAACTTCTAGTCAGTTTTCCCAGTGAATGAGCCTACTGCTATCATGCTGAAATCATATCAGACAACTGTGTTAAAACTAGAAAATTTAGTTAATTATCTACATATTTCCATTTTTGCTGAAGGAGTATTTATTTGGAGAATATTTATCTAATAGGAGCCCTGGTGGCACAGTGGTTTAAGAGCTCAGCTGCTAACCAAAAAGGTGGGCAGTTGGAATCCACCAGCTGCTCCTTGGAAACCCTATAGGGCAGTTTTACTCTGTCCTATACGATCGCTGTGAATCAGAATCAACTCAATGGCAATGGGTTTAGCTACTGATATAAAATGTTATTATTGTTGTTATGTGCCATTGAGTCAATTCAGACGCATGGCAACCCATATGCTACGGAGTAGAACTGTCCCGTAGGGTTTCCTGGGCTATAATGCACAGGTCTTTCTCCCACAGTGCCGCTGGTAGGCTGAAACTCACTCGAGTGCTTAACCACAGCGCCACCAGGGATCCTTAATATAAAATATAGAAGTGTTTAAATTTTCCATAATTTCCATGAACACAACCTCCATTTTTTATAGTTTTGTTACATTGAAAGTTTCTAACTTCATACGAGCTAGGTAGTTCGTTTACGATTTAGTTCTTATGAAATAGATTTAGAGAAAATGTGCCCTAATATTATACATATAATTTGGGCTTGAATTATCTTCAGTTATTTGAAAGAACTCTTTGTAATGAGCCTAACGTATAAAATGAAAATGTCACCTATCCCAAAGAAGTGACATTCACAAGGGTAACAAGCCTTCATTTCTTTGTATGGATTAGTGTTCTATACCCATGAGCATTTCCTCCTTCTTTCAAACTGTCATTAGGAAACTCAAGGCAAAGGA